ACAGTGTACAGTACATACTTAACAAAAATGCAATTTCTTTAAAAGATGGGTAAATGAATTCCACCCAAAAGGCTTTTCATTTCTTTAACAAGTTTCTGATGCAGCTCAGCCAGGGGCCCATATTTAACTGAAAAGACTACGCCTTAGAAGTAAAATTCCTCTCGAAAGTCTAAATCTTTAACTTTTCCCCCACACATATAGGGGTTTACAGATTTCACATATTTAAACACTTCCAGAACCCCACAACACTGAAGTACAAGATGTAGGTTTGTAATAACCTGAGTTACTATGAAGTTGCACTTAAGTCCTCAGAAAACAGTAAGAATCAAAGTGACTTCTACTTGCAGCAAAGTTGCACTTTTACTTTGCTGCAAGTAGAAGTCAGTCTTAGTACTCACTCTAAAGAACTTTACTCTTGAAAATGCAAGTGCTGGTTTTACAAAGTACTCAAAAAAAAAGGCGAGTTCAGACATAGATGTAATGCTTAAACACCTTTATTGTGCCCAATCTGAACATACTCCACAACTGTTAAGTAGCAGCAAACTTGGCAGACCACAATGAGGTAGACTTTCAAAACTCTTAAAAAGCAGCTGGGCTAAGGGACAACAAGCTCAGCATGACAGACAATGGATAAAGAAAAGACATCTTTGGCACACAGCATATTATGCATTTATGTCCAACTGGAACAGGAAGGCAAAACTGGATAAGCATGGAATTATTAAATGGGTCTACTCAAGCACTGGATAGATTAGTTTATCACCAGCTAAGTGGAAGTTCTTACATTCAACAGGAAACAAGCAGCTGTTCTAACATAGGCATGTCCCCCACTGATGTACAAAAGTGATTAAAAAAAAAAAAAACACTGCCACCTCTCCACACGTGCAAATTAAAAAGTGCAAAAAAAAAAAAAAAGTGCAATCACATGTTCGAGTCTCAACAGGATCCAGATGCTTGAGAAAAGATGGATTACAAGTTGAGGCACATCCAGTACTGATTTACATTTAATATCACTGGACCAACAAAGCAAGTTGAAGTAGTAATTCCAACATTTTGTGCCCATTCAGTTGATTTAGAGGGAGTAGGGGCAAATAAAAAAAAAAAATGTATTAGGACAAGGAAAAAATAAAAGGGGATTTCCCATAAACAGCCGCCTGGTAGAATTCTGTTCAAAACTGTCATGTCATGACTTAAAACCGTCTGTGTACAAATTAGTAAAAAACTGCGTAAAAATGTCTGAAATGCGACCGGTTAAATGAAGCCAACATTCAACTCCCAAAAGTAAGAAACACCAGTTGGCTTGCACAGGAAAAAACAGATGCCAACTGGGGGTAAGGGAGGGGGGAAAAAAATAAAAATTTAAAGGCACTGTATGGCATTTGCCAATCAACAGCAATGAGACTTGCATGACTGCTCTTCACTATGCAACAGGTAAACAAAAAAAAATAAAAATAAAAAAAAAAGGGTATTTTCATCCACTTCTTAGCCTTGGGCTGACTCCCATCTCTGGCCATGAGCCTGGGAAAATGCATAACTGTAAAGGGCCCCTTGTCTCTCCCAATACGGTCACTGTGCATAGTGCTACTGTGAACAGCAAAAACCTAGCAGGTGCAAAAGTGAACATTTTCTACAGTGATATCCCCAGTTCCTGGTGAGCACCATGATGCCCTCACACTGAAGACACCTGGCACACGGGCTCTCCTTGGCGGGCAGCCTCGCCCCATGGAGAAGGGCTCTTCCTCTGGCCCCTCAGAGGGATTGAATCATCTGCTCTAGCTGGAGTCCCTGTTCTTCTGGTTGCGCATGAGGGGCCGGTGGTTGCTCAGGATGTCCATGGAGTGCTGCCAGTGCCAGCAGGAGCGGCAGTAGTACTTGAAGCAGGCCTGGGTGGCAACAGATAATGGAGCACACTGTAGGGTGCCTTAACTAATGGCATTTGATACTGGTAAAACAGTGACCCTTCTCCAAGGGTATTCATGCAATATAGTGCAAAATAACCATTAAGACGGCACTGGTTTATTTAATTTTGTAGTATTGACCATCGTTTCTCATTTAAAAAACACTGCACTTGTTAGTTGCTGAAACAGTGTGATAGTACTCAGCCCTAAAAGCCTGAACTGAGTTAACATTTTTGCACTTCCTCCCCTTACACCCCCCACCCAGGTTTTTAGTTAGATGACTGAAATAAGGTCTGTGGTTAACGCAAGGCCAATAATAAGATTACTAACATCCCATTCTAGGATTTTACAGAGACTCCTCTGCTCACTAGTCCACCTTTACAGTCTTATTTTAAAACACGTGACACTGAAATCATGGGACCGTGGTGTAATTCATTTATAGCCTACTTTTTTTTTTTAACTTCTTTCCACTGTCCAGTCCAAGATATGGAAACTGCTGGTTAAATGCTGATCTGACTAAGATTTGTTCAAAGAATTTCCACCGACCTGGTCTCGACAGAAGAAAGGCCCAGGCTGGCGAAGGCAAACTTGACACATGGAGTCTTCCAGGTAGGGGTCAATCTGGACCTAAGGGAAAGCCAAAGCCATAATGCTACATTTACAGCCACCACAAGCAAAAAAATATTGCTAGTGACTGCATTTCCATGCAGTACCGTTTTACTGGGAGCTTGTGGCACAAATTTTCCTTAAGGTGCCTTTAAACCATTGCTAAAGACGCCACCACAAGTCGATGCAATTACAGCTGTCAGTAAAACAGTGCAGTCTTGGCATCTCTACCCAGATCTGATTTCATCTGCCGAAACGTTTCGTCCCCTCAGCTGGAGTGGAACTTTCAGTTAAGTCACCTTGTTCATATATGCAAGTTTGCCCAGTCTGTCTCCATTGCATTTTGCCATTTTGATCAATAGACCTACCCTGCTGATTAAGCAGCACTGCAATTCAAAGTAAGACACTCCACAGCTGCAGCCAAGACAAATGATTAATAGAAAAGTACAAAGAGTATCCTCTTGCCTTCTTTGTAAACTTGGGGGTTTTAATCTCCACAAATGCTGCACACACAGCCTTCAGATAACTGCGCTGGTTGTTGAAAGTAACACGTCCAGAGCCTGTATACAAGAATAGTTAGGCAAGTGTGGATCCCACTGTCAAAATTTGCTGAATTCTGTTGGCTCATTTATTGTTGAATTATAAATGTTAAAAAAAAAAACCTCAAATGTCAGTCTCACCTATGGGGTACTTGTGCTTGTCCGTGTCAATGCCAGCATACATGACCCCTCCAAACAGGTCATTCATGATGCTAGCCAGCGCCTCAGCATTCAGCATGCCATGCAGTGCTCCAACAAACACCGTCTTACTGGGGTCCAAACGCTGGGCAGGGCAGCGCACATAGTTACTGTCAGAGATTACCCAAGGGATGACCTGCACCTGTAAGACGAGACACACACACACACGAATCTAAACAGACCCAATTACTGAGTGTTGCTTCCTTTCGTTATCCAATGATCATACCCCAAGATGACAGGTCTGGGCACTATGTCATTTTCATACCAATGCAATACAAGAGTTTTGATGCAGATCATTTTAAAACAAAAAAAATCTACAATTCTTTTACCCATTAACAAAGGCCAAAATCCTCAGATGTCAACTACTCAAACAGAAGCTGCTTTCAAAAAGGAAACCGTGTAAGATGAGGTTAATTGATTAATCTCTTGTTTCTAATGGGATCAGAAAAAACTAAACCTGAACAGCTTTCACTACTGAATGTCTACAACTGGCGTTGGAATGCATTTTGCGATCAGGAGCAGGGCAACGTCTCTGCTCGCTTTAATGTTAAATGCATTGTGCTTACAAAACCGACCAGTTTAGGTCGATTTTTTTAATTTTGCTTTTTCCCACTTCAGCATCTACTGCACAGCCCCCTAGTGAGGAGCACAAACAGCGGAGGAGGGTGGGGTGGGGGGTGGACCGAGGTAACGAATGGCAGCAGTGACAAACACCTAGATCCCTTAAACACAATGTTGGTTTCTTAGCGTTGTTTATATTTGTGTCAGTGGCACTTGCATAGTTATTGCCTAGTAAAAGTAAAATGACAAATTAGACAAAGTACACTTGCTACAAGTTTTTTGGTTTGTGCTGAATTTGGTTTATTTTAAACACTGTTCATTCACCAAACTACTTCAGGAGGTTTGATAAGTGACTTAAAGGATTCAGACAAGTCAATAAGCCAGTGTGGATTCTGATTTCATAAAATGCTTGATATACCTACACTGGACTGAAATGTGTTTAATACTCCAGGGTGGATAAAGTATTTATTGTAAGACTGGGTGTTGACTGCGTTACTGTACATATTTACAAAAAAGCGTTCTATAGCCAATTTATTATCGTTTAATTTCTACTCACATCCTTGCATCGCATTCTGCGACTGGACATCTTGAAGTAGTACTCCCTGTTGTCCTCGGGGTGAAACGGGTCCTGGGAGCAGGCATGGAGTAATGCACGGACAGACTTCTCATTCTCAAACACCAGATAAACATAGCCTACAAACATACAGCAAAATACATCAGGATATACCAAAATTAGGCCACTCACAGTATTATGGTGAGATTTAGACTATGTTCAAGTAACTCTTTGGCAATGTTCAGGCAGCGCCTACTCTAGACATCAATAAAAGCATCCAAATAAGTGCTGGGGGGGCCGAGCACTAGTGTCTCATGCACAAGTTTGTCTGTTCAAACAAATAAAGCCTAATGTAACATTTGCCAAAACAAGAATTTAAGCTCATTTGTTATACATACAAAAAGAGCTCCTAATTATATTATCCAGAGGAAATAAGCCCATTAAATCAAGTAGCACTATAATGCCCCTCTCCACTCCTAATTGTGAGTGTGTATCATGAGTTATAGAACTCATGACATGGTTTAAGATTTGTTTTTTTTAAAAAAGTGCTTCTGTAGTGTTCCAGAAAAACCCACGTTAATTTGGCTGCTTTACCGAGAAACAGATTTTATTTACACATGCAACATTAAATTAGGTCAGACTTGTCAGTGGTGTAGGTATCTCAATATTTAAGGCCATTATCAATTTAAAACCCAACCCATTATAAATCTTCACTTGCTACAGCTCTGTATTGTGAGGCCTCACTGTTGTCCACTCCCTGCTTCTAGTTTTACACTACAGCTGTGCACAAAACCACCACCCTTAGCTCTGCAGCCCAACAGTCAAACTCACCAATATGCCAAGTGCTCACCACAGTGCCACCTTGAAACCAGGAAGGGAAAAAATGCCTACCAGCCTGTTATTACCTTTAGCCACATTACCTTTGGGAGGGCAGCGAGGGTGCTTTCCATCCTTACCCGGCCACTCCACAGTCAGAGGGCCATAGCCACTAAAGGTGTTGATCAGGCCAGCTGAAATGAAGCGCAAAACAGCATTTAACATTTTGTATCAAAATAAGTTTTACTTCCAGTAAAATTAAAGCAGACTGTTTGCAGCAGCACTTGCCTTCTGTGATGTCCCAGGGCACGCCACCAAGAAACACCTTGCATGAGTACAAAGGATCCTTGTTGTTCCTGGGAGGGAGCTGACCGCTCCAGGTGAATGTGGCCTCATTCACAGCTGAGGAGTTCAGTTGAAAGAATTACTCAAGATACAGGTCACTTCTATTGCTATCTACAGAAAGGTACAACAACTACCATGTGTTATTAAAACTGAGCTATAAGATGTTCAGTGTTAGTACAGCAGTCAGACCTGTAAAATTACTTACCTGCAGCCTGCCTGTGCATGCGGGCCTCCCTCTCAATACTGAATGCATCCTCTGACTGGTCGAGCACATTTGCGCCAGGCCACGGAGAGCTGGTACGCCAGCGTCGGGAAATGGCTGAGGAAGTGGGGCTGGCACTCGATGGTGGAGTCAAAGGAGTGCTCGAGTCTTGGGGGTCCAGACAGGAGCCCAATCGCAGCAGATCCTTCTGCATGTTTGTTGCGAGATAAGGCGGTGGAGGGGAAAGCCGCAAATTTGACTGGAGAGAAAGACATGTCCAGAAAACTGACTAAATGGAGACAAAGGGATTGGTGGGAACCAAATAATGCTGGTAGTAGAGGACTGGAGGCTTGAGGGGGGAAAAAAAAAAGGCCTCAGTGTTTGTCAGTTATTATGTAGTAATGTATATAGAGTAAAAACAGGACATGGGTAGCCCACCTAGGATTAAGACAACATTCCCCACCTTTAACAAGCCAACAGAAAAAAAGGACTTTCAGAATAAACACTGAATGCCTTACCAGCATGTCACAGAGGTGGTCTGAGCCCGAGCTAAAGCCGCTGGTCTCCGAGTCCTCAGGACTGCTGGAGCGAGAATCCAAAAAGGAGCTTGAGTCTAGTCGGTTTGCCAAGCGAGCCATGCCGGGGAACTTCTCCAGGAAATCAGCATTCAGGCCTGTTGACTCAGGGGGCAAGTAGGCTGAGGGCCTCCCATGGACAGTGCTGATGGGACTGCTTAGTATACTTCGCACTGTAGATACAGGACAATTACACCATTTCCTGTCTTGGTGAAATGACAACCATTTCAGAGAGCTCTGTATAAGTAACCATGACAATATAACTTGTCCCCAACACGTCGCTCGCTACCAGATTCTGTGTAGATTGCCTGAAGGTTCAGGAACTATGCAACCTACACTGCATGCATTATAAAACAAAATGTTAGCTTCACCCAGTAAACCTCCTTCAGCACCAAGTTACTTGGCAGTCCAATGAGTTCTGCTGCTGTCAAGTTTGTTTACAGTTGCACCTTTTGGTGATATCAGCAACTCTTGGATAATGTGTCAGCCTCAAGTCTTCACTTAAATGAAGACCATGAGGTACACTGCCATTTCAGTTAGTTGTGCTGTGGCCTGCAGCATGTTTGGGCTCAATTCAGTAAAGTAACACTAAGCTAAATTCGCTATTAGTGGCTCTTTGCTATGTACCTTTGGATATTGGCATTAAGGAGTTTTCTTCCTCATGGTTTCTAATGGGATTGTGCACATTTGCAGTGAGCATCTGAGTTGCTATCATGGGAATGTGCAAACAACAAAATGTTCAGTGTGTTTTTTTTTTTTGTTTGTTTTTTTTAAAGCTGTGACAGCTGAGCACCAAGGGCTTTTAGGTAGCCTACCTTAATTGCCTCCATTGTTGTAACAAGCCCAACCCACAATGACCAACTTTCCACTGTTTTTACAACATCCCCAGTACACAGAATCCCATGATGTTTTGATATGTCAAAGGCACTGCATACGAGCTTGGCAAGCTGATGCAATTACTGGTGTCATTTACACTTTTGATACAAAATGATTATATTTGATTATAGTTACACAAAAACAATGAACTTATTCAGCTGGTTTTGTTTAGAGATCTGAAAATTGATAAACTAGTTCCACTGTTTTTACAACATCCCCAGTACACAGAATCCCATGATGTTTTGATATGTCAAAGGCACTGCATACGAGCTTGGCAAGCTGATGCAATTACTGGTGTCATTTACACTTTTGATACAAAATTATTATATTTGATTATAGTTAGCTACAGAGCCATACTGATTTGTCAGGTTTGCTGCATTGCAAAGTTTCTAAAATGTCACTTTCCTCTGTAAAGGACATCTGTTTTGTAACTGGATGAGCAAAGTAAAGAAAATGGTCTGTATGCTCAATCTGTAGACCCACATTGATAAGAGACCTGAAAGGCAACGATTTCCAAAAACATGATGTGCAACCTGGCTGCCAACCCAAAAAGCTTGACGCATTCTCAATTCTTTGACTCATATCTCCACAGAAGCTACACGCCTTTCCCCATTACCACAGTTACTGGAGGCCAATTCGTCCGACACATTTCCTAAGGAAGGTCCATTGACTGCTCCATCAACCACCGGCCTTCTTTCCTCATGATAACCAAGTGATTTGGCTGGCAACTGTGAACATGAGGCTCTGAGGGGAGTATTCAGCTGTAGGCCACATTCAAAGCTCTGCCCCACTTTGTTGCAGGCCCAGTTTAGAAAGCTCTAAATGAAGCTATGCCAGGTCATTTTAGACATGGAGCAGCAAGAACTATAGCTCTACAAATGGAGCATGTTTTGTGGTACCTCTCCAAAGCCATCTTAAAACTGACCAACATCTTAAGTAAAGCATGTTGACGCATCTGGTCCAAAAACATTCTGGCATTCTGATGATCAACAGATAGTATAGATAAACATTAAGAACTAGACTATACCAAGCTGATTAAGGTTTGGGGAAAAGAAAAGTAGCTTCACTGGGTTGTTTCTATGCCTGCTGAATTGCTTGAAATGCAGCAAAGCAAAAATGCCACATCATCCTCCTTGGTGACACTACAGCCTGTTCCCACACACGCTGGTAACCAACCGTCACATATTTTAATATAAATGAGGGCAAACACAAATCAAGGTACATAACCTCAGATGTTACAAGATTTACCATTTCATCTTAAAAATAAGCATGATCATGAAAGCAAACTCTTGGGAAAGCCATCACCAACCACCAGACTGGGACATTGTGTTAGCAAAGATCACACTCCAGGCTTGGCTGTGAATCCTATACATGTTCAGGCAAACAAAAAGGTCTTACTTACTAGAGGCTGAGCTGGCCTGAATCTGAGAAGGGGAGGCATACGTGTCCGTCTCCTGGCTGCTCCAGGTTCTGTCCCAGCTTGACAGACGGAGAGACTGGAGGCCCAGGCCCAAGTCTGTGACACCCGGTGAGCCCCTGGATGAAGGCCTATCCTGGGAGCTGGGCATGCCGCCACAGTTGGAGAACATTGTCCTGCTGCCCATTGCAGACAGCTCCGACTCTGACAGAGATCCAGTTCAGTGATTTAGCAAAAGAGACAAAGGGGAAGTGTTAGACAGCCCAAGAGAACTTGTTTCAGTCTGCGTTACATAGAAAAGAGCAGGTAGAAATTCTTTACAAGTTTGTGACATGAAAACTCAAATTTGAGAAAAAAATAATTCCATCACTTCTCCCCCTACCCTGGCTGCCGGGGGAGCTAACCTGCTGCCTCTGTGCCTGGTGCAACTGCCATGCATCTCTGTCCGCATCACTGACCCACCTAACAGCACGTGACATGGCTGCTGATGTACTCACACATCTCTGCTAATGACATCAGCTTTCCCCCCCACCTCTCCGTTTCCTCGCCTAACAACTGTGTAATGAGAAATTCTTGCCGGCGCTATTGGCTTGTTGATAAAAGTACTCCCTCTCTGGTACGCACAGCATGTCTTGCTGCTGCTGCTGCTGCTGCTACTGCCTTGTTCCCTTTGCAAGCTGACAGAGGTGGGTGGAAGGGAAGGAGGGGGAGGTGAGGGGCAGAGCTACAGCAGTATGGTGTGAGGCAGCATGGGAGACAGGAGAATGACTCAGCAGACAAACTCAAAGTACTTTAGACTTTGGCATGCTCAGAAAATTTAATTTTAAAATCACTGCATTCATTGGTTGGTGAGCTTCTGCACACAAACAGTGAAGAAACAGGCATGCAAAGTCTCGAAGCAGAAGCAGCTGACTGATCAGATGCTGAGGACAGAGCGATACGCACCACCAGCCCCTCCCTCCCTCCCTCCCTCCCTCTCTAGGCCTGGAAGGCTTCCAACTGCCAGCAACACCAAGCCGAGTGGATAGGGCAGAGAGCCCACACTAAAAGTTTGTCAACATCAGTTCACTTAAATCTCAAATTTGTGTTAGACTTACTGTATGCTGAAGTCAAACTTTACTGTACAACTTACACGTTATGTAAAACAATGCTGGCGGTCAAGTGCAGACATGCACTAAGCAAATTAACAATTCAAGGAAAGGATGCAGTCTCTGTGCTGAGCTTAAATCTTGGCAAATCTCACTCCTAGGGTAAAAAAAGGAACACTCAAATTTGCTGCAATGCCGCAGGCTAGTGATGCAGCATGAATCAGCTGCTGGCACCCAGATAATGACAAAGTGGCGAAGATGTTACCAAGGAAAATTCTAGCTGAGAAAGTGAAACTGGCTCCTTTAGTGGGAATGCAACTTGGCACTTTGAAACAAAAACTGACAAGCTGTATTTTACTTTGCATTTGGAGTCATGTGGAGACTTTTGGTCCAGGAAACCAACAACAAAAGCAGCAGATTCTAGACTCAAGGCTGTAGCTACCACAGAGATAACATGCTCATGTCCTCTTTTTATTGTTCCTGGAAATTTGAAGTTTAAGGAAACAAGGGAGAATTTACATTCACAATACAACTTGAACTTGCACATGGTTTTCAACTTGATTCATGCATTTTCAGACCATGTTCACATTTAGTGTCATTACTAGAGCTGAAACATTTGTGTAGACCAGAATTTTAATCCAGTTTTAACTTCTAACGTGTTAGAACTCCCTGCTGCAATTCTTCCACTACCTCCTTTCTCAGTTGCTTCTTCTGTGTGAAGTCCATTTTTGGCACCAACATAGGCCAACACGTGTTCTGTTTGCCAGTGCACGCACGCACGCGCATACACACACACACACAGGTGCCATTGTGCCCACTTACTGACTTTCACAAGGATGCAAACTGATAGTTTGTGTTGTACATGTCATGTATTATGCTGCCTACACAGACTAAGCCTAGTCCTCCTGCTCGAGTGACGAGTAAATGGCACGTTACCATACTGCAGGTCTGACTTTGCCTTGGAGTTGTTGGGTGTGGTGCACACACCGGTGAAGTCCAGCGCGTTGCCCAGCATGGTGTTTATTCTGCGGAAGAGGTTTGCATTGCTGCAGGTGGACAGGGCCGGAGACTCGGAGTCCGGGCTCTCCGGCCTGCGGGGATCGTTTCTCTGCAGGAACAGACCATAGGTGAGTTGACAAATTAATCCTGCATTCACCCAAAAAGTTAAGTTCAAAGTTAAGACACATATGACAAAGTGAAAACCACATTTCTGACCATTACTCAACAGTTTGGTGAGATGTTGTGAGTAGAAAATTCAAGACTAAAACAAAGAACTGGTCATTTCACTACACACACACACACAGGTCAAATGAGCCCAAACGCATTAAATTCACCAATTTATTGTCGGGTTTAACTCACCAGGGAAAACGCCATGATGTGAGCTGACAGTCTGTGGGGAAAATGTCACAGTGATAACCCCTGGCTGCACTAAAAGGCCATAGTTAATAAGTGTGCTAGCCAGCTAATTAGTCCTAATGCAGTGAACGTGTGCTCGCAGGTCGACTACGCCAGGGCCTCCGTCTGCTCACGTGCTCCACATCAAAAGGCAGCCCGCAAAAATAAAAATCACGTGGCACCATGGGTTGATGAGAAAGAGCCATTTAAAGTACTTATACTTTTTACATGCTCTAATTATGGGCTACGATACTATAAATAATGGGCAAAATATATTTTGTACTTTCAATCTTTAGTTTATAAAGTAAATAAGTGAATAAATTCAAGCACTGTACTTAAGTACAGTTTTATACTACTCCAATACAATAACAAGATGCCAATACTGTAGCTTTTTACTCCACTACATTTAATATTTTTTACTTACTGTTACTTTGCATATTCACATGAACAATATTTAATGTCACCCCATTCACTGTGTTCAATTGGCAATGAATAAACCCAGGTAACATGCAAATAGTCATCTTAATAAGATTTAGAAACCTTGATTGTCCAGGTCTTTTTTAAATAGTTGCAAATAAGGATCATAATAAAATGACAAGTGGTAAATAATTATAAAGCAACTAAGTACAAAGAAATACTTGAAAGAAGATAAAGATGCAGCTTTAAAAATTATTGTACAGCTGCAAGAAAAGGGAATGGCACTGTTTGCCATTTTCTGGTTTTCTGCAAAAGTTGGCCATGAAATGTGATCTGAGTCACAAATATCAATAAACACAATATTTCTAAGCTGATAAAACACAAACCGTCCTGTCATTCATGTCTTTATTGAACACACCCTTTAAAAATACAAAGTGATGGTGGAAAAAGTTATGGCAACAGTGTTTTAATAACAGGTTGATCATGACTGTTTGTACTAAATTCAAGTATACAACATAGAAAACTATTCCCTAAGCCTGTTTATCTTTTTCTCTATCACTAGATTATTATTACTAAGGCAACATTTTACTGTTGTAAAATCATATTCAGCTGAAACTCCTGTCCCCGATGTCAGAATAGCTCAATGATGGGTCACTGGTGGTTAAGAGGTTGGGATGATAAGCTTCCATCCATGTTGAAGTTCAAAGATGCTCCAGGCTTAACTTGTTAGTGGTTTCCATAACAAAATTTGGCCTACAATGGACGTTATTGTTTTGACCACGCTCAGTGGAGTTTAGGATTGGAGAAGATGAAAATGTATGAATCCACATGGGAAATATGTGCACAAATAAAATATATCACACAAGGAATCAATCAGATTACTGTTATGTGATGCTGTTTTTTAAATAATTTTATTTAAACACACAAGATCAAAAATCACATATAAAAATACACCCACAAGAAGAAAACCAGTGGCACAAAAACACACACAACCTGTTGCTGAGAAAGCAACATTGGTTTATATTTTCTCTTGAAGATCATTTACATTACAATGTTTTAGGTGTATAATTTACCTGCATTACAATTCAGCAATCAGTATGTTACATATTTAATCTAAAAGTCAATACAAACATAACTGAGTTAACTATATAGATTGATTAGACGTGTTCCCTTCATATATAGCAAACACAGCTGACAAAAATACACTTACATCTATAGATTTCCATGAGGGCTTGCAGCTGCTTCATGCCTGCCTGTAATGCGAACTTCTCTCCTGTAGAGGGAGACAAAGTCTGGCACTAAAACAAATCTCAACGTCTCCTTGATCGACCTTGCTGCTGTCTTAATGACCACCACAAAAAGCAGTTTTGTCTTTGAATCATATTTAAACATTTGTACCAAATTGGAATAATACAAAAATGACATTTTAAACAATGACATGAAGCACATTTATTACCATATGTGTACTGTTTACACTAGAAGCAGTCTATTTTTAATAGAAATGTATTTGATAGCATTATTTGATTGATATAAATTCTACTGAAAATGCTTGTTTCCTCGATGCCTTTTCTGAAGGGAAATAAATATTAATTTTACAAATTTTGTAGTAGAAACCGTCTTAGTTCATAAAAATGTTGATCCCTGGACCTCAATGTGCCACTGCAGCCTGGGAAGGTGATAGTTGAAAAGGAAGACTAAGATCAATACGCAAAGATTTTATTGAATCATAATATATTATGCATCTGTCTTGTATAGGCCATTTACAATCCCTATTTAGGTTTCTGCAAGAACAAAGATCAAATACTCAGTAAAATAACAGGTAGTTTGTGAGAATGGGACAACACATGGCAACGGCAGAGAAAAGGAAACATTCTTTTGTCCAATTCATAGCATCCCCATCTTCACACCCTGTATTGATTTCATGTCCATCCCAATATTCTGAGGTGATGTTCAACGACCCGTTTTCCATGAAGGGCAAATGGCTGATCCTTGCAGAAGCAGTTTTCTCCTTTGCAACCCTTTACATCGAGATGGATCAGTTCTCCATTAGACTTTGTCAGCATCAAGTGAAGCACTATAAAGTCCTGTTTGGGGTTGTAACAAACCCGTCATTTTAATGAATTTTCTGAAAAATTATCCATTTCAGAGCACAGGGTGTCTTTAAAGGTCTTATCTAAAATGTGAATATACTCTATTCTGACAATTTTAACTTAGATGAAATCCGATTCATTTCATATTTTGCCCCATTTGTCTTTGTCAAGTCTGCCTAACCCGATCAAAGACAAAGCAGACTCTGTGCGTAAAGCCACATACTGCATCTGCCCTTTGCTTTAGTGAGGATAAGGCTCAGGGTTGCTTTGTGTTAAGGGCAGGTTAGGTCTGGAAAATGGTGCTGCTTATTGTGGGGCTCTGAAGATTTGACAGCATGGCCTGACACCCCCCTCTTTGGGTCCAAATAACAGGGAAATAGTTTATATACTGAGCTTTCATATGAATGCTCTCCCAATCTTTGGCACATTAGTGCATTATTCACTGATTAAAGAACCAAAAACTAGAAGTACAGAAACATTTCAACCTGAAGTACAGTGATATTATGGCTTAGTGCCAATAATGTGTAGATACCAGGAGTATACATTTTCCTCACTGATCAAGTCTACTGGGTACCAGTCTTGTATACAGTATACCACAACTGGCACAATGTCAAATGGTGATGTTAACCATCGTCATCACAACTGCAGCTGATCATTTTGAGAACAATCACTTCAGAATCCCCTTGAGGTGTCATCACGATTGGTTGAGCAGAGCAGTTTTTCCAGCTTCTGAGGGAAGGGTGTGGAGGTCAGCAGGACGCAAAGACACTGCAATTTTTTTGAAAAATGAAAAGTTACATGAATTATTGATGTCCACAGACAGAGCTGCTAACTTTGATTGGCTGCTGACTCGCTGCTTGTGATAAATGACAATACCCAGAGAAGTGCATTTACTTCTTTTATTCATAAGATGGAAATTGTTTTTTTTTTACATCTTATGCACAGCAGATACAAAGACAAACATGTTCTAAACCACAAACTAAATCCATCCATTACACTAATCCTGCTTCCCATTTCAAAGTAGCTCCCCCTGAAAAACATCCCTTTGCATTTGTAGTGCAATTTCACATTCTGAAAGACTGATTTGTAGCAATCTCAGCAGAATGGCATAAGCCACATTCAGATTACTGTTTTGTCATGTCACTTTTAAACTGCACTTTTTCTTTAAGACTACGCCAACAGGATTATAGGATCAAAAAAACACCAAAAACACAAGCGACAACATCCAACTTATACAGGTTCATTATTTAGTTGCACAAAAATGCATAAACATACATTATGCAAAAGTACAAAAACTTGTACTTTGCTCAAATAATGACATTGATATGATCATAAGGACTGGGATTGTCAGAATTTAGGGATGTATTCACAAGGTCCATGCGAGATAAGCCATTTACACAAAGGCCTAGCTTTCACAGGAGGTAAGACCAAGGTTCTACAGGAAAATAAAACATTTTGCCGTCTAGCCTTGGGTAAAGAGGCAACTCAAACACTAAGAAAATTAGGATACACAGAACTCTGCTTTCTAAATTCATGCCACAAGACTAACATGCAATGACTTAATGCTTTTAACCCTTCCAGGAGCAGCAGAGACCCATGGAAGGATTAGCTCAATAACCAACTTCAATGTGCCAGTTTTCCCTCAGCAATTATGATCCGCGGAGTTTGACTGGGCTTTGCATGAGGTGTTTAAGTGCCAAGATGGTACCGCAATAATTGCCAAGGATAAGCTTAGATTGTCGACAGCAAGATGGTTTCAACTCAGACTCACCCCCCCCGAGACAATTGGGAGGAGATATAAATACTGTTTGTTCATAATAATGCACATTTTCCATTAAATAAACCTGATTAAATTATTGAAGAGCTTGGCAAACCTCGCTTCAGCTGGGTAAAGGTGTGGTTTCCAGAAGCCTGGGGGGCATGAAAGCAAGAGTTGGTCAAAAAGCCACAATATTAAAAACTACAAGCTAAACAATAAGAATGGTCTTGCATTATATTTTGTCAAATACTGTGACTGAAAAACAATGCATTAGTCTCAGTGCTTTTAACCTTACTCCATAGCACTCGGCCCCAAACTAAATGGCTCAAGTTCACCGATGTCTTTTAAAAAAAAAAAGTTATTTCCTAAATCCTCTGGCCACACTTGTTAGGGACCATTTTCAGCTAAGTGAACATTTACAGCTTTAAGCAGTGTATGTGAGACTGAATTTAACTACAGTGACCATGTTCATGGTAATGAGTAGAAATCACTCAGTGCAGCATAGTTTAATAGTTTTGAATTATTGGAGGTCTAAGAAAAGCTATATTGAAATAAAAAAATGCATATCAGCCTAAAAGAATTTTTAATATATTTGTTTTCTTCTGGTGAATAAACCCATAAAATGCCCAAAAAGTGATCCTACAAACTGTAGCTAAAGCCCGACAGCTTATTAAAAGAGTTTAGAAACAAATGGGCATGGGGCCAAGTGCCATAGACGGGTTGGGCAAAAGCACTGAAAGTATTAAGGCCAACAATGAAAGGTTTTCAACTTTTGTGACACATTCTGCAATTTTCCAAACATTGTATTGGTATCGTTATGCAGTTTCCAGCTTGCATGTTATAAGGTTAGTAGTTACAGAATAGCTGGGTGGGCAAATCCAAAAAACACTGGACCAGAACTACTCACTAAATATCTAACAAAACTGCCGGGACTTCCATCCAGGCTGGGAAGTATCAGAGGGAGTAGGGTACCAGCGCATCTACAGAAACACAAAACACAGTGATGTAAACAAAAACGAAGCTTCAATCCTCAACTCTGCAGATTTAATTCATTAACCTACTTTGAAATTTACTTTGCCAAACAGGCTTACGATAACCGTCACCTTTAAATCCTGGTCACTGAAGCCATGAGAATGTGGGTCACACAGCAGCTTCTCATGCAATTAACAGGCATGGAAATGTGTAGAGTTGAACCTCTCCTCGTGTTAAACATTTCCATAAGGTAAGAGCAGGTATGCCTGCACCTTTCCATAGCTATGGCTAAACCCTGTGGCACAATGAGGCTTCTCATTTCCACACACTGACTAAAAAAGGACAGAAGCCCAAACTGCAGAGCCAAATGACATTCAGGAAGTTAGTTTGGAGACATTCAGAGACCCCTGATGTCAACACTGCTGTGTCATACAGTTGAACAAGGCCAAGAATAAGTGGGATGAGAAGTATTTTAGCATCTTTCATCGGATTGCAATTAAAGGCCCCCCCCCCGGCAGGTTTTGTTTCAACAGGAACTGGCCACCAAGTTTGCACTTTGCAAGAGAGCCATCATGTTTGGCAAATATTCCATTCCTCTGCCTCTTGTGCCTATGTCATAACTGTGTACTATGCAGTGCAGTACTCCACTGTGCTCTTGCATTGCAGGAGGAAGTCAACTCGCAGTGAACTTTAAGTGACCCAACAAGAGAAATATTTTCCATTGCCATTGTTACCAAAAGCCCTGCCCACTGCCTTCTAGTTAGCAGCACTACTTGGACTGCAGTAGACTTGTAAACACTTTGTACCACCATTCCTCTCCATCTAAGTAGTTGATCAGGTTTTTAGAAAGCATCAAACTTACTGCAATTGTATATTTGCAAATGATCCAAAAAGATGAAAATACTTTTAACTGACTTGACTGAAACACTCAATACATTTGTATGGCACCAAATCACAACAAGTCATCTCAGGACACTTTACAAATTAGGGTCTATACCTTATTATAATGAAGCCATCATTACCATTACAGTGAAGGTTTAAAAAAAAAAAAACCAAAAAAAAACCTCAACATCGTTGTTAGATCACACTCAATGTTAAGGCCAAAACATTTTTCCTGAAACTATTTCTAGTCCCTAGTGCATGCTGTAGACCAAAACATGGGTATTTCAGTCAGAGCAGTGACATGCGGTGAGGTTGACAGCTGGTGAGGCACTGACTTAGTCAGATTTACAAATACAAATGAACCATTAACAAATGAACCGTTAACAAATTGTTAACAGACAATGCGTTATGTTATTACAACTCATATCAGCATTCTTCACACATGACCCATATTTAATTTGAGGTTAAAATTTATTCCAATTGAGCTTATTTCTAACTAGAAATAATAAAAGTTTATGGTCTTACCTTTACTTGTACACGAAATCCATTTGTCAGCTGGTATGTATTACAAACCCTTTTACCGTTCGAATCCAATATTAAAACAAAT